TCTGGAGCCACAGAGGGCCTTTCCCCCTCCTTGCTAGTTTTGGGTCAAGGTCGCTGTGGGGTCCATAGCTGGTGGTGGGAGAAGTTCTCATCCACTTCTGTTGTCCAGGAGCCTTTCTGATCCATCTGCCTTGTGATGGTTGGACTGCGGTGTTCCTCCTGCTCTGCCTCAACCCTTGGCGATATTTCACAGGCAGAGAAATGACATAAGCAGGTCTTTATTTGCCTTGTGCCTAGAGGCTGCTTATTGGTGTGTTGGTTTTTACTCTTCAGCTGCTTGTACTTCACACTACTCCAGTGTGACTTTCTAGTTTTCAGGCCTATTTATTTTTGCTTCAGTCAAGGGATATATGGGAATGTCTTACACCAGCTTTGCTTCTGAAGAAATCACAAAGTGGAACTGAATCTTAGAGCACTGAGTGTGTCCACCTACAGTGTTGTTTTTTTCTTGTCCCAGATGAGGTGTTTATGATACCAAGATTTTATCCGGTATTTGTTGAAGGAGTCTCAAAATTTAGGAGTACTAAAGTGCAGTTTGGGTAGTATGTGCCATTTTAAACCAGATGTCATCTACCTAACAACCTGTCTGCCGAGAGGCTCTCATTTGTCAAGGTTTGCTTGGGTTTTTGGTATGGGGGTTTTTTATTGGTAGCAGAGATTAAGCTGTTTTGTAATTTATTTCATCTGATGCTTGGTTAGGTCTCTAAAGCCTTAATCCCAGTTAGGGTTTACTTCTGGTAATGTAAATTGTGTAACTTCTTCATGAGTGTTTACCCTTTTCTTTGCATTTTTTTGGAAGGAACTTCTCACTTGTCTTCCCTCCTGCAGTTGTTAGCTATTCAGAACTAGTATTCAGATTACCAAAATTCAAGTTGAATAAAGTCATTCCCTATTAAACAAATAAAAGTATGAAGCAGTCTCTTGGTACTTTTCCCATAGAAGCTTTCATACGAAGCCAACCCTGTCTTGAGCCTTGAGTCATGCTTCAGAGACACTGGCATTTGGAGTGAGCTTTGCAGTGATCTGGAGTCCAGTGCAAATTTTCTATCTACAGTCATATGTGAATAGGTGATGAATCAGGACTATTTTGTCCCTGAGCCAAGAAATATAATTTCTTGCTGAAAGAGCATTTTTTGTCTAACAAGGGGATGATTTTCTGAATATTTAGGCAGAGCAATTTCTGATTAAAAATACGTTTTCCAGTGATACAGTAGTTGAATTATGATCTGTGGGCATCAGAGATTAAATACTTGTTGCAGGGAGTTTTCTGGAACTGAGCCGATGAAAAGGATGCATTATGCTGCAAATTATTAAATATTGATTTCTGTAACGGCCTACAAGGCATAAATGAATTTAGCAATATGCTAATAAAAATAGGATAAAAATTAGTATCTCAACAGAGAAAGTAATTACAAATATGTTTAATGATTTTGGTGGAAGTTAGATTTGTGGGTACCAACTTTGGTCTCTTGCTGAGTATCCAAAAGCACCTAAAAGATGTCACCTAGGACTTTAGCAGCTGAAGTTCCCAAAGTTCTCTGAGGTCCATGAGCTGTGTTGGATGCTGGATGTTTGGCTTTGGAGATCACAGGCACATGTTGGAGGAAGCGAGGCATGTTTTTTGCAGATTTTGCATTCTCTGAGGTTTCCTGGCAGCTTGCTCTTGAAGCAGCTCAGTTAAGCACAGTTTAGCCTCTATAGCAAAGCTGCTGCTTCGAAGTCATTTGCACTAGTGATGGTTTCTTTATAATGGTTTAGAGAAGCTGTTACTGCAAAGTGTTTGCTCTCGGCATTCATTACGGAATTACTTCTCCACAGAGATTAGCAATTTGAATTTGTCATTACTTTTTCTCTTGGTGTAAGTATTTTAGAGCAATAACTTCTTCCAGAAGAATAAAGGAAACTGATTTCGTTGTCTTAATTTTGTGTGGAGGGAAAGACCATTTTCATGCGTTATCCATAAGCATCACTTAGATAGCTACATAAAGCACATTTTTTACTTGCTCTTTCACTTTGTTTGTCTGACAAAATTAATGCTCTTCTGCAGATGTTAGTCTTTAAATTTCATTAGAAGGCATGACAACATCTGGGCCTTTAGGTCACTGAAAATGAGCAGGCAGCTTTACTTGCAGCTTGCGAATTTGTCTTAGATTTTGAGAGGTTTATGTAGCAGAAGTGAAACTGCTCACTGCATACAAAGTCATCTCTGTGTGACCTGTTGTTGGTATTAAATGAATAAGAAAAGGTACTTACTGTATTTGGGGAAAATCCAGAGGGACAATTTGGGCTTTAGTTTCCACAATTGCAAATACAGCTGAAATACCAGCTGTGGTGTGACTGCAGTGAGTGACCTAAGAAAATGTACACCATTGACCTCAAAGTCACAAAATGCATCGTTTGAAGAACAGTAAATGCTCATGAGAGGCTTGAGTAAATGATGAGGCTGGGGGAAAGAAGCTGGCTGATACAGATACTGTTCATTTGCCAAGTGCAGGTATGTTTGAGTGAAAGCCTGTCACCCCTAGGTCTTGTAGAGAATGTCCTTGTGACCAAATTCATGGCATGCAGACATATAATCCATTGTCCCATCCCTGCCTTGAACGTTTATTTGTTTTTATGGTTTTTGCTAAGGTATCTCAAGGATATTTATAGTAGATTAGTTTTTATTGTGTTCTGCCTTATTCTTCATGCCGCAATAACATCAGAGTCTTGCAAGGCCCATATAAAGGATGGCAGAGGATATTGGCATCCAGGAACAGTGCCTGCAGTCCCTCAGGGCAGAAACTCAAATGTTGGCTATTGCAGGCTGCCTAATGATGTCACGGCGGGTTCCAGCTCGGCTGAAAACTGTCCTCCTAGGACGAGCAGTGTAGTCATCTCATTGATTTATGACTGAAACAATCTAGCACACAGTTGCTGGCCTTATGTTTCCAAGGGTGGTAATATCTTAGTGAAGGGTGAGGTTGCCATAAGTAGGTGAGTCAGATGAATGCTTTCAAATGAGCTGTTCAAGATTTGTGTAACTAATGGAGCAGTTTTTTAAAAAAGCAACAAAAAAACCAACCAAAATGCAAAAGATCCTGAAAGGTTTGAGATAAGCAGTCTACTCAGAAAGCTTTGATTGTTGTTAAGGTCAGTTAACTCCAACAGATCATTTACAGGTTCGGTGAAGTTTCAGAACCATATCCTTTCAGTTGTGGTGTGAAAGCAAGTGGCATATGGCTTTTTTAACATTCAGGAGCTCCTCTAGTGAGACTAAAACTAAAGAATATGACTATGTTTTTAGTAAGATTTTTTTTTTTGAAAGCTTAAAATGAAAAGCTCCCCGTTTCAACCTTCAGCCCTCTTTAGCTGTCACAAGGCATGTTCGTACTGCAATCACATGCTGCTCATAACCACATTACAAAGCTACTTTAAAATCAACTAACTTAGCTGTTACCTGAATATTTAATCAACTTTTTGTCTGGGTTTTATTGCCAGGATCAGATCCCATAATGTAACCTGTTTGTGCTGTAGATATACCTATGAAAAAAAAGGAGAAAAGAAAATAGGAGACAGAAGCCTTTTCTTCCACCTTTTATGCACCAGCTGAGCTTGAAACTAGCAGAGTCATTAAGCGTAATGCCAAGTGTCAGTTGTGTGAACAAATGTGTAATAATTATACTTTGGATTCAGTAGTGTTTTAGAGCAAACTGCTCATAATTTCCAGCAGTTACTCCTGCAAAGTGTGTTCCTTTCTTTGATTTCTTCATCTTCACGTTATATCTCTAGAATAAAATTGCAAAGTCAATTCATGCTTTGCAGTTACTTAAATTGTATGTTATGTAGTAACTAACTAAACCAGATAAAGCTATCAGATTATAGTTGTCTATATAAGATGGGTTTAACTGGTACTGATCCGGTCCTTATCCTTCTCTTTGAGACTATATGCTTTGTGTGTCATCTTAAAAAGTTGCCTTTGGTGTCAGATTGGTGTTAAAATTATTAATTTGAAATATATGGCCTGTACTTAAATTGTTAAAGCTGGTAAACTCTGATTTATACCAAATTTTTACATCTATCATTCCTTCCAATAATTTTTGTTTTACTGATATATAAATATTTAGCCTTTGAATGTCTGTTTCTCCATATAGGTGTGTGCACATGTGCGCTGTGTCTATATTTATGAAAAAAATTATAATTCGTATAGCTAGAACATAACCTCTTTTTCAAGTGTTCTCAGGTGAAGGGAGGGATTCCTCATGCAGCAGATCAGACAATTTATAAAAATACATAGTATTTTCAGAGAGAGTTCTTCCATGTTATTTTGGCACATCAGAGATCATCTCGGTCTGAGTGATCTGAATAACGGATGAAAGGTTTTGAGGGAGGAGGCATAGAGGATTGGAGATGCTGGAGTTCTGAGTTTTCTATAGGTGTGGGAGCAGCATGGGAAGGAGATACGCTGGGCTAGTGGAGGTACCTGTATATCACAGCTGGGGTCATTACTACTGAGTACAAGGAGACCCAGTCAAAGACCAAGTATGTAAGTTTTAGCTGAGAGAAGGCTGTACATGGCCTGAAAGAGAAGGTGTCTAGACCTCACAGCCTTGATAAATGTGAGTGAATGGGTAGATGAAAAAAATACTCTGGGAGAAACATAGCTTATTTTGGTAGTCAAGAAGGATGGAATATTTGAAGATTTTCATGCATCTAGGCCTTCTTATATATCAGAATTATGGTTCTTCAATCCCTCAAGACAATATGGAAACTCATTTATATATATAAAAGCTGATGGTGTTTGTATATTTGGGGTGAGGAATAAATCAGTGATGCTGGGAAAAGTGTTTCAAATCACATTTTCACATTGCAGCTGGTTTTACAATGTTCTTGTAAAGTAACCCAGTGTTGTCCCGTGTACCACTGATACTCTTTTTGTGCTATGGGCCAAATGTACATTTCATTTAGTTCACAAGTGACCAATGTTACCTGCTTTTCTTCACTTTGTCTCCTTTCCTCTAGCTATTACAGCTTCTGGAGTCTGAAACCATGCAGCTGGAAGCTTTTCTGGAGTGGAAGCAACTGGAACCAGTTTATTGGCAGTGGATGGTAATGAATCAAACTGATTTTGAAGGGTGCAGCTTTCTTAACTCTAACATTGCCGGCCAGTTCCAAAGGCCCCTTCCCACAAAAATAAGTGCTGCAAACCAACTGTTCAACAGCACTCGAGAAAAAGGAAAACAGCTTTTGGTAAAGTAAGGAGTGTTTTAGTTCTCCTTCATCCCTCTGTTTTCTTCAGTAAGACTCACCCAACTAAGCTGAGAAATTGCAGGGCAGAGTGGCAGAATTTCATATAGTTAATACAAATGAAAATGTCTGATCTTCATCTCTTTAATGTTTTTTTTAAACATAGCAATCATACATTTTCTTAAAATTAAATGGCTTTTGAGAAGAGGACCTCTAAGCTTTATTGCAAACTTGAGAACAACTAAATTTGCAAGCAGCTGATATTGAAAACAACTTCATTTTTTCCCAGCCAAATAGTGTGTTGAAATTGCCGATTTCCCCTTGAACTGTGTTGAATGATCATAAGAAAATCAATAAGCCTTTCTCTGTGCATCCTATGATTTTTCAAGTGAGTGTAAACGGTACCATCCATCTCACTTCTCTCTACAACTTTTGCCTATTCACAGTTGCTGAAAATAATTCTTTAGAGCACCACCTTAGCTGTATGAGTTTACAAAATTTTGAGAATCAGTGAGCTGACTGCTAATTGCCCATATGCCTTGTTCTACACTAAAAGCAAAGCAAAGGAGTGTAAAATTACCTCACCTGTCTTGGAGAGTGTTTCCAATGCAGAGCCTTTCAAATTGCTGTTAGTTTTATAATGTTTTTTGCTTTACATGTCTACCATCTTATGGTTATTTGGAAAGCAGCAACACTAGTATAAGCCTGGCTCCAAACAGGCAACATATAACTGCAAGGGTTATGACATCTCAGTGTATCCACCAAAACATTTGCCTCTGATATGTTGAACAGTGTGGGGAGTATTGCAAGTGTTAATGTGCTTCCTGGAGTTAAGTCCTAAATGAATACTTGCAAAAAAACAGACCAGCATATATTTTTAAATTGTTCGATATGCTGGGTGGCGAGTTTGCCTTTTTCATTTGTTTTTGCTGAAGATGGTGGTTGTTCCTGGGTGCAGTAGGATGTATGGGAATGAGATGCACTTTGAGGATACAGTAGATTTCTCTTTCCACTTAACCTGTGTTTTGCATTTTGCATTGCTGATCTGATGGATGGGATGATTCTTGCACAGCTACTGCCAGGTCTTCCTGATGGTTGTGGGCAGGAGCATGACACAACTACAGCAACTGGAGTGATTGCAGTAATGTCACTTTAAAATTCTGTCATTTAATGAATTCCACATTAAAAACAAACAAACAAAAAACAACAAAACCCCAACAAAACCAACAAAGCTTTGTTTTATTTCCATGCCGTTTGTTAGCTTGTTGGTGCCCAGAATATATCTGCATGTCCATGAGCTGGGCCTTTGGTCAGCATGAGCTGCTGGCCTCAGTGCTGCTTTGTGCCGGTTTTCAGTGTGATGCTTGCTGAGAAAGGAGGTTTTGTAAGGGTGTCTTGCCACTCTTAGCTATCTTAAAAACTTTTTTCTTGTATAAGCCTAAAAATCTCTTGCTGTGAATTAAGCCAGAGTTTTTAACCTACCTGCAGAGAAGAGAGAGAAAGAGGTGGTGGTAGTGAAATATTTCCATCCTCTTTATAGCAATCTTTTATAGAAGTGGAGGCTGTTAGCATGTCACTGCCTTCCCAGTCCCTGTTTCTAGGCTAAGCAAAACTGGTTCTCTCAAAGTCTCCTTGTAGGCCATTCATTCACACTTCTGATGGTTGTTGCTGCTCTCATATGGGATTTTCGCTCCCATTTGTCTGTTTTACTTCAGGTGCCTCACCTGTATGTTGGTGTTACAGTCAGCACTCTTCTATCACGGAGACTTGTGTTTACACTTTCTAAAATGGTACTTGACTTTAACAGTATGACATCAGTGACTTCTGACGTCTCTTCCAGCAGTGTTGCTGCTGTGCCAGTAATTATGCATTTGGTTTTTCCTTGTCTGTGTAGACCATGCTGCTTAACTGCTGAATTTCCTCTCACTGTTTTTAAATTACTTCTCCAATTTCTAAAGATAATTTTGAATGCAAATTATGTCCTTAAAGGAGATTATGACCTCTCATATTTAATGTCTTCCTGATAACAATATGTAAATAAATATTTAATACAGAGTGAGGAGGCCTGGGTCCTTTAGTTATGCTGTGCTGTTATACGGGCTTGAAAACCCTGTGTTTCTGCATAATCAGTGCAGTGTGAAATAGATGCATTTCAAGGACTGTGAAGTTTTTTGGTATTTTGTGAGTACTTCACGTAATGGTTGTTATTGCCAGAGGCAGCTGCAGAATTAATTATAGAACCAGCTAGGTGCTCATGGTCATGCAGAGCTGACAGAGCTCCCAGCCAGTCTGGAGCAGGGATCTCTTGAGGTTCCTCAAGTTGCAGAGTTTTACACTGGCACAGGTGATCCTGTGGGTGTTAAAACTTAGGTGTCACATAGCAGATGGGGCTCTCCTGCGCAGTGTAAGCATGTATCTTCTTCCTGGTTATCACTTTGTTACAAAAAGCCATAGAAGTGCATCCAACCTCAGAGCCTGAGGGGAAGAGGCTTATCTAGAGCTTGTGCAGCACTGATGATCCCTGTCCCAGGAGTGTTACTTTCTGCTTTAGTGCAGTGGAGAGTATGCTCACAGTATGCAGTGCTTTCTAAAATAAGCTGGGTTAGCAACATAAGTTTTCTGTTAATTTAGAAATATGTTACAGTGAACTGAGGAGGTTATCTCTAAAAATAACTCTGAAATTATGGAACAACTGTATATTGAGATGGCAGCAGTGAATTCCTAGTTATGAATTACCAGGAACATGGGAGGAAGAGGGAAGAACCATTTTAGCTCCTGCTGAAAAGTAACTTTGACTGTTTTTCCTTTAGGAAACTGTGTTAGATAATATGGCTGAAGAGGGAAATAAGTGTGAGTCCCAGTATACTCACACAGAGAAAAGTGGGCTGCCAAAGGTGACCTCGTGCTGTCCCTGGGCTGACAGTGTGACTGGGAAAATTGACAAATTATCCAGAAATCTAATGACTCTCCAGGACCAGCTGCATAAGCTTGTAACTCACCGAAAGGCTGCGTGGTGTGAGAAGGTAAGGCTCTGGGTGGTGTTAATCATTAGTGACTTGTAAGATCTTATGTTTTTCAGCTCTCTTGCTACAGTCTGTCCTAGGGCAGCCTCCTTGTAGCTGCTCTGTGTCACCCTTGCTGCAGTCTTGGTGTCAGATCTATAGTTACTTGTCTGTTTATGCCCACCGCATGCCAGGTGCTCTTTCAAACACAAAGTAGGCACCTGTCCCAGAGAGGCAGCATGCTGAAACAAAATACATGTTCTTTGGCTGGGAAGGCATCAAAGGATAGGGGTTGCAGAGGAGAGGAGGAAATCATGGCAACCCCTGGAGGAGACGGTAGGTTGAAAGCATCAGTAATGGTTATAGTGAGAAAACTAAAGTTGGGTGTTTGCAGAGAAAGGAGGGTGGGAGAGGCCGGAGCTTGTCATCTTTCACTGAATTAGTAGTCTTTGAAATGTCTGATGGGGGAATGAATATAAGAAGGGTTTGAAACCTGTGAAGTGAGAGAAGGGACTAAGAACAAGATCGGGTGGAAGAACAGACTGGCTGTGGGAGGCTGGCTGTGGAGGAAAGCAGGTGATATGAAGGAAGTGCACATGGTATTTGCTGACATAGGGATGGGGAGACACTGGGAAACACCCAGAGGAGGCATTGGGGCATAAGTGAGAGAGCTGTTAATGTAGATGTTGAAGGCGAATCTGAATATTAACGTGCTGGCCACAAAGAGACAACTAGTAATTTTTTTCAGGCATTAAGAGGAAAGAAGGATACCAGAGAATCTGTGAAACCCATGGATGGAGAAAAAGTGAAAGAAACAATTGGGGCAGATAGAGAAGTAACAAAACCACTGTATAGCTATTTGGTCTGTTAACTCAGGAGAGTTTTGGTTTTGTTTTTTTTTTTGGTGTTAGATTGAAGTGTTCGTAGACAGGATTATAGATCAACTGACAAAATGAAAAGTGGCAGGTTGTCAGATCAAGAGGTATTTGCCCAAGAGTTCAAAAGGGTCTGCCATGGAAAAAGGGTATGGAGAGCGAATTGCTCTCTTCAACTGTAAGGATAAGGAACTAATTAAGATCAGTTAGATAGGGACAAGCTGCTTCTTCATACAGAGTATGGAGCTTCTTCCCACAGGGCACTGTGGGTATAAGCAGTGTACACAGATTAGAAATCTGTTGGACACGTTCTTGGATGATTAAATCCATCAAAGACTTTCAAATATACAGGTACGAATTACAAATTTAGGAAGTTGCAGAAGTACAAATTGTTGCAGGCTGGGGGAATATTCTGAGGAAGTATCTCCATATATTTACCTTTGTCTTATAGCCTTCTCTAGGCACTTGCTGTTAGTCACTGTTGGTGATAGGTACTGGATTAGGCAGGTTTCTAGCATCATCAGATTTGGTTGCTTTTATGGCAAAATGGACATAACTGCTGCAGGATAACTCAGGCCTTGAATTCGAAAAATAAAATTTCCAGTGTGTGATTTCCAAAGCAAGATATGCTCTGACTCATATATATAACAATATATATGCAGTTAAATATTATGTAATAATATAATTGATTTTTTTTTTATGCTTAGATTTGGAAATGAAGTCCAGAAAGATTAACTGATGAATTCTTCATTGTACTTTGAAATAGATGCACTGATTGGATTTAAATGATGGTCGGTCTAGTCTCAGTGTTTCTGAGATTAAGTGAATGTCATATGAGTTTATGACTGTGGGTAACAAATGTAGTGCATCTTCAGTGTGTTGTTAAAAGGATGGTTTATCACAAGTGCCTCCTCTTTTACATGCCCTGGAACAGAATTGTTTTGTAAAGCTATGCGACAGCATTTTTTGGAATGCTGGGAGTCAGATGAGTCTCCATCAATCTTCTTTATATCAACCCTTCCTCTGAATAGTGCTGCTGCTTATGTGATGCTTTCTGCCTGTAGTCTGTCCTTTTTCCCCACAGTCAGGAAGCTTGCTGAAAGCAGGCTCCTCTATCAATTGTATGTTTCTGCCCCATTCAGTCTTTTCCCTAGAGAAATAAGTTTATCAAATCTTTTCTTCTGTATTATTTTTTTAGTCAAACAAAGAGAAGATATAGTGGTAGCTAAAGTGGTCATTATCTCTAACTTTGTATCTTGTGATACTGAGACATCTGGAAATTATTTTGGCTCTCACAAATATGCCCAGCTGAAGGACAGTACAGTTTATTATAGCTCTTGTGCCCACTATCTTGTACTTAACAAGAAAAACATGATAATCCACAGAGTAATTATGTCTGTTGTTACCAGTAGGCCTGATCTCTGTGCCAGGCAACTGAGTAGAAACTGTTCTGAAGAACAGAATTGAGGGCACATGATCAAACGTGATATACCAGGGAAGAGACAGCACAGTTTTTGCAGAGGAATCATTAATCTAAAATCTGCTGGAGGTGTCTGAAGGGACCAGTGAGCGTGTGAGCAAGGGGGGTTGGATTGGTGTTGTTTAATTGCATTTACAGGCGGCATTTGATAAAGTCCTTGAAAAGATTCTCAACAAAAATAAACTGCCCACATGGCTGTCTTTCCTCTTACCCTTGAGCAAACAGCGGAGCAGGAAGCGGAGCGGAGGCGGCTGCGGTCGCTTTGCAGAGGCAGTCAGCGGTGGGGCCTCCCGAGCCTGTGTACGACTGCTCTGGGACAGGAGGTGCCCAAGTTCAGAGATGAGACTAAATCCCTGAGAGCGCATGAAGGACAACAGCAAAGGCTTGTTGAGGGTCTTTGTACTGAGTAGTGAAGTGGTAAAATGTTAGATAAAATTGCGTGGAGATAAATCTAACAAAATGCATCTGAAAGGAGAATCATAATTTTCCATGTGATTTTTTTTTTTTTTTTTTTTGGTCTGACTGTGATGGTATGTGAATGAGCTCTTGGGGTTATAATGATGGTTCTGTGGAAATGTCAGTGGTCAGAAATAGTAAACTGAATTCTAAGAATTGTTAGGAAAGCAGAAGAAAGCAAAACATAAAATATTCTCCTCCATTCCTGGAATGCTATGTGCAGTTCTGGTCCCAGTCATAACTCAAAAAAAAAAAAAAAAACAAAACCCACCAAACAAAACACCCCAACAAAAAAAACAGCACATAGTTGAGCTGAAAAGGCACAGGGCGGGGGAAGTGGTGATGGCCCAAGCTGTGAATCGGTTTCTCTGCGAGGAAGTTTACCTAGGCTAGGGCTCCTTGCACTAGAAGAGGAGAGAGTGAAGAGGGGTATCACACTGGAGCAGGAGGAAACATTTTTTTACATTTCTTCTGGTGCTCCTTGTTTTTTCATGATGGGTTAACCTAGAGGGAATTACTAGACAAATTAATGAAGGAAAAAATCATTGCTAAGTAAGAAATATGGAAAGTAATCTCTGGTCAGGAAGAGTCCTTCAGCCACAAATTACTGGAGTTTAGGAAGCTGTATCTTCAGTGAGGTATTTTTACATATTTGTCTAGTCCTAAACTTATTCCCTAGCTATTCGCTGTTGAAGACTATTGGAGACAGTGCTGGGTTAAATGGAGCTTTGCAATACCAAGGTACAGTTACTCGCTCTTTACGTCCAGTTTTAAGCATGACAAGTTGGGAGGGAAATTGGGGAGAGTCCAGAATAGAAAAATGAAAATCATTGTAAGTCTGGAATGTAAGGTGTTTGAAGATCTTTATGTTAAAAATGGAAAGATTAAAGTGAAATATATGATTCTTTGAATATGAAGAAGTTTTCTGTAGAGGGAAGACTTTTATTTTTTTTTCTCCATGTCTTCAATGAATTGGACAAGATTGTGTGTAAATTGCAACACAGAGTTTCTAATTAGATACTAGGGAAAAAAATTCCTAATGCCTAGGGCAGAGAAATGTTGGAGTAGCTTGTCTGGTGAGCTGTGAAGTCTTCGTTCTTAGACCCTGCACAAACCAGGTTAAGCAAATATCTGTCGGGGATGGCTGAAGAGGAGACGGACCTGCTCTAAGGCTGTGGATTAGGCTTGAAAACTTGTTGAAGTCTTTTTCACTTATGCAAGTCTGTGATTGACTGATTGATTTATGTTGGCCCGTGTAGAGGTATTTCAGGTGTGTTAAAGTCATTGCTATGGCACGATGTCTGGTTTGAACCACTAAACACAACTGGTTATTATTCAGGATGTAGTTTCAGGGGCAATGTGTCTGTTTGTTGCAAGTTTGATTATTTGCACACTGTGATTCTGGCAGTTAAAACTATTGATCTTAAATCTTTTAAAATGAAGGAACTTTTTTTCCTTATTTTCTTTTGTTTGCTTCTGCCTGCCCCCAGCTCTTTTTTTGGTGATGTGATTGGAATGACCCTGAAACCATTTCCCCTTCCAGGGACATTCACTAGAAGTCATCTGAATGTTGCCATGGGATTTGGGCGATTTGTGAAACCCTGATTAATATGACATTTTAACTGATATCCATCTCTAGGCAGCAACGTGTTCAGTATCTTGGAGGAGAAAAGGCACATGACAGAGGTGTGATCTGAATATGGGGCTTTTCTATTGTTAGCTTTGTTCTTTTCCTTGCAGTGCTGGGCAAATAATCATCATTTCTTTGGTGACATTTTGGGGATTTGTAAATGATCAAAAAGTTGAGTGAAATGGTTAAGCTTTACAAATGTTTCTCTTCTTAGAAACAAACTTCACTGTAAAAGATGAAATCTCCTAATTCAAGAAGAGAACTTGTTTGTTTGTTTGCTTTTTCCTTTTTGAATATTTCATGTTATCAACTCCTCTATTTTAGAGGGGGATTTTATTTCAGTCTGTGTTAAATATTCAGCATCCACAAGCTGAAATGCAGAGTATTTGACTCCAAATGGTAATTGTTTCCATTTTCACCACACAAATGCTCACACCATACTGAGCTTTTGTTGAAATTTGGGATATTATATCCTGGGATTCTCTGTGTTCACTAGCATTTAAAAGTGAGCCAGACTCCTTAGAGATGCTGATATGATGGGATGGAGCTTGCTCATGCATACACTTCTGAAGCATGGCCCAGAAAGACTTGGAGCCATTAATCAGAGCTTGAACATGCTCTTTGCACACTGGAGTCCTCTCCAGAAATACTGGTGGCTGTTGACTCATGCAGGTTGTAATCCCTGGCGCATGTCAGACCTCTTTAGTGACAGTGGAAGAGCACACTGAAATGTGCATTTTGTCCTTGTTTCTGTATCTTTCTCCTTGCCTCCCCATCCATTCCGTTACCCCTAACCCTCCCAAACTGTTGCACCCACAGCCCCGATAGGGATGGGAGGATGCAGGGCTGCCCATTTCGGAAGAGATGCCTTTTGGATTCATAGTGTGTTGGGGAGGGGCTGTATGGGGCAGGGATGTTTTGTTGTCTCTTGCTGGGGAGAGGGAAGGTGCTGCGGTGGTCGGTGGTGGTGGCAGGAATGGCTTGGGACACCCCATCAAGTGGGTGAAATGCAGAGAGGCTTTCACTCCATCCCAAGAGTCCTGTGATTCACTCGAAGTTTTTGCCACTGCCAGCTCATCACAGCACACTGCTGGAGACCTTGTAGAGTCTAATAAAAGGACATTTTTTTCTAAGGTTCTTACGTGTATAAAAGACTGGATGGGGTTTGATTTAAGACTTCACTATTTGAAGTAGGGAAGCAGCTCCGGAGGCTGATGCTGAAACAGTCCTCCATCTTTCTGGTTTTGTTTGGGTGTTTTTAATCTACTCAAGCAAGTGCACTTCCAAAGTTTTTCAGTATGCCTCACAATGAATTGGAGGGGAGCATAAGGAGCAGTGGACACCCTCCTGGCGGTTGGTTGTTGTGCTGTGTGCTTGGCTACCCTGCATGAAAAGAAAGGCATGTGCAGTGTATGTATGTGCTGAGGGAAATACAAAGTTTCATTATTTTTTTTCCACTGTGTGCATGATGAGGAGCACTGGTGGGGGCCAGGCTGGCTGCTGGCGTGCTGTGTGACCTCCAGCACCAGTGTGGGGCCGGGTTGTGTTTCTGCTGCCTTAAACTTGGGACTTGTGGCAGAGACAGCTGAGCTCTCCAAGTAGAACTCTCTGCAGGCTTGTCAAAAGCTTTTTTTTTTTTTTTTTTTTTTTAAAAAAAAAAAAAAATTCACACTGCATCTTTACTATTTCTGCTGTTCATTCTAGTTCTCTGAGCTTTTTGCTAATATGAAGATGTTAGTGTGGTGAGTAGGTAATTATCCAGGCTGTCTGGGGTGCAGGAAGTGGAGGAGTGGTAGGGAATGGTTCAGTGCCAGCGCATTTCCTCAGTCAGCATATTCCCTTCCCCTGCCCCTTCCCCAGTCCCAGAGCGTTTCTGTGTTCCACTTCGTATTTACAAACCTCCATCTGGAGCACCAAGCAGCTGTCAGTGGAGCTTTTCATGCAAAAAGAAATTGAAGAACTAGCAAGGCCACAAGAGCAGCTTTTGGAAATCTGCGGTTGGCTGGGCCCAGATGCCTGGGTAGGGGGAGGAAACCCAGAGAGTTCAGCAGAAACATCCATCAAAGGGAGCAATGAAGGACATGGACAGGAGGATGACAAGCAGGGACAAGGCTAATGGCTTTTATGTTATTTAGTTAATTGTAGGATTAAATTTACTGCTGATGGAATTGCCATGGTATTGACAGATTTAGGTTATTAGAAAACATAGATCAGCTGTAAACAGTAGGAAGTAAGATTCTAATGTTTGCGTTCACTTTTTGCTCTTGCATTTTCTTGAATTGGTTTATTTGTTACTCATCAATAGTCCTAGCTGGAGATCTGAGACAGCTTGCTTCTGGTAAGTGCCCATGGAGATTGTGGTGGAGATCCAAGTGATTGTTCCTGGAGGAGGAGGGCAGTGTGCTCTCTCTCTTGTTGGAAGAAAGAAGCCATCTCCATGCATTGGTTCTGCTCTTCACAGCAGGATCTAACAGTTGTATTAGACCTGACGCCCCTAGTTAGCCTGGCTTAAGGCAGGTACACATGCAGAAAGTAACTGCAGATGAGCACAGCTTGGGAGATTTTTGAAAGACCCTTGCTTGCTTCTGAGAACTCTGTGCAGGTTGGTCAGACTTGAATAGTCGATATTGTTAAGCTTGCAGCATACAAAGAGATGAAAAAGATAAGTATTTATTCTTCATTTGCAGATGCAACTTGCTGTGCAGATTGCTGAATGAGTGCTGAACTGTGTGAGAGACAGAGAGACTCTGTACCAGTTGCTAAATCAGCAAACTGACTTCAAACACACACAAAAACTGTAACTGAAAATAAATTACCCAGCCTGACATTTTTCATGGGGCTTATATATTATAAAAGACTCTGGCTCCTTAGGGAAGAGAGAAACATTAAAAACTCGAGTGCTGTCTCCTGTTTTGTGTACAGAACTCTGGGGTTTGAAGTAAGCATGAGTGAAAGTTTTCCTTGCTTCCCAAAAGATGCTGTTTTCCCGTCCTCTGCCGAAATGCAGAATGTTTGCTCAAGTGACAGGATCAGTTTAAAGTATAATCAATAACCAGTGTTAATATTTTACTCGCATTATTTGCCAAGATGTTGGATACCAACCAGGGCAATGAAACATGTAGTAAATGCAGCTGAAGAATTATACTCCAATAAATTTTAGATGAGCTTTATTTAACAATAAACTGTAAAAAAACCCCATTCCAATGAGAAAATGTGTTTTGTAGCCATTGTAAATGTTTTAGTGCATTTTTAAGAAATAAGTGTAGTACTTATGTTCTCACAGCTAAAACACACAATAAAACATGGACGAAGACTAGGAATGCCTGTAGGACTCAGATGTACAAGGTATATAAGATTGCAGGTCCCAGTACCACCTTTATCTTTTGAGTGTGAAAAGCTTGGAGATTTATGGGTGGTGGATTTGAGGTACCTGTGACCATAGGGTTGCTGGATTTTGAGACTCCCTTGCAAGTGGTGAGCCACTCCAACAAATGTCCTCCACAAGGGCAGGATCTTGGGGACATAGCTAATTCTGGCTGACAGGCCATATTAAACATCATAGCCGGTGGCTGTATTTTAAAGCAGCTCTACCTGAAACACTATTAGTGAACCTTTCAGAGTGGGTTTTGGGGACGGTACCTTCCAGGAGGTATCTGGCTGACTTTACAGCTCCAGGCAGACTGGATGGATTTCTCCTCTGTCAGCAGCAGTTACAAGCGTTGCGTACTTTGCAGTACTGCTTGGTTTTCAGGTGAGTTGATAGAGCTGCTTTTAGAAGGACCGTTTGCATTCATGTATTCAAAGCTTAACTTGAAGTTTTCTTTTTTTCTCAAAACCTTGGCCTTGTTCTCTGTCATCTATCCTGAAAATGAGGATACTTGATCATAAGAGAAAAAAGTATCCAACTCATTTCTGTGTCTTTGTCTCTTGTGCTTGTAAAAGAGCTGACATAAAAGTAAATCTGTAATTTAATATTGTCACATCTCTTCTTTCTAGCCAGAAATGCATCTAAATAAAGCTTTAGTACACTTCTGAGCTCAGAACTCACTACTTTTAACTCTTCATTTTATCAGCTCTCTCAACCCCCTGAGAGATGTTTGATTTTTTTCCTTTGCAGGCTAGCTGTAGGGCCTGGCCTTGGACACTTGCAGGAGTCACGATGGCCATTCAAGCAGCTTCACATCCACCTACACCTGCGGCTTGCCATCAAAACTGTGAGCTAGTAAGAGAAACTGCTGAACGCATTTTAAGAGTAGTGGCTTTAGAAAATGTCTGCTTTTTCACACAAACTCTGAAAATGTTTTGTGTAGACAAATCTCCACCTGGGAGTTAAAAGTTCGTTTGCCTCATGCGATAGTTGTGGGTAGGCTGGGTTGCTGGAGTGACCTTTGCTGCTCTGGATGCACTGCGTCAGCCTCCCCCGAAAGCAGAGAGCAGAGCTGCTGGGCCAGGGGCTGGTGGAGGTTCTGCAGTGGTCATGCAAAGCCCCAAGAGGGGACAAGGGAGTATTTTCTAACTGAAAACCAAACCAGTTTGGGGGTGAAAAAACTCCCTAGAAGTCATGAGGTTCTCTGTGGTTTGGTTGGGTTTTTTTGTGGTGTGGGTTTTTTTTTTTGTTTGTTGTTTTTTTGTTTTTTTCATATTTTTGAATGAGACTGACCCTTTTCTGATAATTTGTGTGACTAGGGGGTAATACCTTCCTTTCATTAGTGTATTTTAGGAGTGGTTTGTACAAACATTCCTTTTTTGGGGTGTATATATAGGGACTACATTGCTTGAATTTGTTTCATATTCAGGATGATATAGAAGAGTTCAAATCACAAGCAGCACTCTGTTTCTACAAAGTGGCTACTTTCATGTTGCACAGTGATAAAGCTCTGCTTAAAAGAAAGTGGGGCCCTCCTAGTCTCTGCAAGTCACTTAGATCTGAGATGATATCTCATATCATCAGTGTTTGTCTCTGCTGCTGAAGATAAAAGTTTGGAAGAACAAATTGAAAAATAAGTGAGCAATTTATTATACGAAGCAATACTTGTCTGTTGCCTTCCTTTGTAATTTGTAGTTGTCAGGGTCTTTTTCAGAGTATCGCTGCAGCCTTTTTGCAAGTGTCTAAATTACTTACACTGACATACTCTGGTTTTCATATCATACATTTTCAGTATGTGCCTATTACTACATTAATTTGTGTGATCTTCTAATTGAATTCAAGGATTTTGAAAAGTCTAGAGATAAAACTGCAGCTAAAAAGAAATGCATTATAAAAGGCTGGGCTGTTAGAATGGAAGTTTTTTTATTACAGTAAAATGCTGAAGATTTATAATTTGGAGAAGCAAATAGGTGTTTATCTCTTATTCCCTGCAGTATGCATTCAGAATTATGTGGCATATGGGACTTTAACAAGTCTGAACTGTGTCTCCTTTAGTCAATGGTAAAGAATCTGCAAGTTTGATGCTCCTGCCTGGAGCTGAGTGGGGGGCTTGTGTACCTCCTGGGGCAGTTGCTGAAGAGGTTTAGATGAGCTCCTGGCTCTGGAGCATGGTGATTCTGGCCATCTTGTTGTATGCTCTTGCTGATGCTTTATGTCTGCTGGTTTTGTGCTGGCATCACTGGCGTCCTCTTCAGCTGAGCAGAAGTAACGCAGAAATTGCCGGTTCCTTTGAAGACCATTTAGTATTTTAAGATTTGTCCCTGGCTGGTTTTGCTCACAGAGTTGCTGCAATAGAATAATCACATTACATTTTTGACTCCCATCTATTTTTTTTTTTTTCCACTTTGAGTTCGGTTGTTCTCCTCAAAAGTTCACCACTGGAAAAGCAAATTACTCAGGCCAAAAACTCAGGAAGAGAGAGTTCAGAAAATATCTATACAACAGGAAATTTTTTTATAGTTTTGTGGAAGAGAAATGTATCTCCTGAGGCTTTCAGCATAGCTGCCTTCGCTCTGGGCTGTTTACCTCAGGTATTTCCTTTAGCAATCCAACCCAAAGGCTGTCCTTGAAGCAACTGCCTCTTTGAGTATCTCTTCAAGGGTAGGATCCAGTGCAGCTCTGTCACAGGAGACCTGGGTGAAGCCCTTGCTGTAAGCAAGTCTGCTCACACAGGCTCACTGCACAGCAGTCACAGAGTTCAGTTGCTTTTAGCCCTAAGAGGATTAATTTCCCTTTTGGTTTGCCTGTGTGATAGATATTTGTAGACTCAGCAAACGGGCAATGCTTTTATCAGTCGTGTGCTTTTCTGTTTTGTATTGATATTTGGAGGTATACTTTGTGTTCTTCTGGTGAAGACCCTTAAAAAAATCTTAATGTTGCTCTTTTCCTGTTTTCTTAATCCTATATGCTTTTCCTTAAGCTAAACTGACTTTTCTGACTCCTATCAATGTGGTATTTAGATACATGAGTCTAAATACAGACCCATTTAATAACTTAAAAAAAAACAACCCAAAATTCAGAAAAGATCAGGTCACTCCTCTTTATGAATTATCTCATTCAAATGCATTAATTAACTTCTGATTTTCCATTACTGTGCTTGCTCCCCAGCTAAAAGCTTTCCATTGGAGACCAGCGTGGATGTTGCTCTGAAGGCTTACAAAGTGCTTTGCAGTTTTCAGTGTGTAAGAAAAGGAAGCTCAGAGCAGCAGTGCCCTGCCAGACTTTGGTAGCTGTTCTCATCAGATGCAGCTATGTGCATTCCTGGTGTTAAAACTATATTTTTAGTTTTTCTTCAGAGGACTCCTCCCCCAGTTAAAAATTGGCCTTCTATTCCTAGATAAAATAGGTAGGATGCCTCGCTTTGGCTTCCCTGTCAGTTTGTTTTGGAATGACAATAGGTGCGCCTGGGAGCTAGCATTTGAATAGTGAATGTCTTGCTTAAAATGCATAAGATGGAGATGCGTACATTCCTCTCTAATTGCAGGAAATTGCAAATCCGGGCAAAATTTGGAATGCAGCTGCTTGTATAATTACATCTTCTGTCAGTTGCTATAGCTCAGCTTTACAACCTTTCTAAAATGTCTTCATAGTTCATGGTACAAATAATGCCGCCGTTACCACTACTTTAGGATCACCTCTTTCAAATATTTGCCACCAATTCCAAAGGCCTAAGATTGTTCCTCTTGTTGAACTAAATAGCAAATATTAGAAATTAGTAATTATGTTAAGGTGAAATTTTGCTTTAGCTGTTATAATTATTGTTATGGCAAAAGAAATTATGTGAGTTTATTACCGTTCCTGGGGTTTGGGTTTAGTGAGGAATACCTGTGCATGTACCTCAAACCAGTTTGATCTGCCTACAGCATCAGGTTTTGGCTACACGTGAACCTTTCTATTTCACGGCTTTATGAAAGAGAAGGTAATGGTAACAGGTCAGGGAAAAGTTGTCAGGTTATTGGCAACTAAGTGTTTATGTCTACTACTGGTCATTAAATGGCGGGTAAGATATTGATCACAATTCAGAGCTTAATGAAATGTGTTGGCCCCACTTATACCACCATCACAATCGGAAAATGGTTGAAAGGTTGGATAGGATTAGAGAAGGAATAATGAATTATTTGGTCAGTCTGAGAGGTGAGAAAAGTGTAATATAACCAAGGCAAAGTTATAGCTGGATTGTGGTCTGTGAGTTCTCGTAAGTTGAGTTTTGAGGGTATAAGACTTTAGATGAAAGGTGCTATAAGACAACACAGTGGCCGAGGCAAAACTCACTGAAAAGGGGCATATTTTTAACCATAAATGAATTTTGCTGCTGAGATAACACAGTAATAAGGTAATTTCTTGATCTGCTGGAGTCTGTGTTTAAAAAAGCAAAAGTATGTTTCTAGAAGAGACCATGTAGCCTGCCAAAATGTAGTAGAACACTGCAGAAATTACTAGGTAAGATACAGTAGCCTATGCTTTGTGGTAGGTTAGACTAATCAAACAGTTTATTATGACTTTAAATCCATAAATGCATGAACATTGGTATTAAATGGGCTATTGCAGAAGAACATGAAGTCTCTTTGTGTACAATCAAGGATCTCACAAGAAGAAAGAAACCTCATTTAGGCAGGACAGTGTGGGAAATGTTCAGCTATTAAAATAGAAAATGATGGTTTCCAGCGTTTTTAACTGGTTGCTCTTCAGTGTGTAAAAATTGCTGCAGAAAATTAAAAACCTTGAGAGCTTACAGCAAAGCTGCTTGATTCAATGAGACAAGTTTTATAGAGCTGCAGTACTAACTCTATAACTTTCTTAGAGGTTTGAAATTACATTTGGGCAAGTTACTATAAGACATGAATTTGAAATTAGAGTAAGGTTTTTTTTTTTAATAGTAAAACACCTGATTACTCAGTGTTGTAATCTTTCCAGAACAGCTGATCATAAGATATTGCTTCTGCTTTAACTCGATGGTTTTTTTGTATAAGCAGCAAATTCCTTTAGATTCTTTTGTGGAGGCTGGGGGGTGTGATTTTCCTGGAAGTCACTGTTTGGTAAATGTTTGAACTTCATAGGCTCTGCAGGCTCTTGTTTCCCCCTGCTCCATAGTTTTTCCCAGAAGTAGGAGCTGCAGGATTTGATTTTCCGTCAGTTACGCATTCACAGCATCCTTTGAAATGGTGCCTTTCTCTGCTTCTCTGAGGCTGAATGGGTTACTGTCTATAGCTAAGGAAGGAAAAAATGGAAAAAAAAAAAAAAAGTGTCATACACTTAGGCATGATTGTTGTTGTTGTTTTTTTTTTTTTAAAAAAAAAAGGCAGAACCAAACATTTTTTGTTAGAAGAAACTGTCCCCTAGCCAAAGTATTATTTGTTTATTGTTAAAGAAGTATAAAGCCCTCACCCTACTTATGTGTGAAAAAGATTTTATTTTTATGCTTTTGGGGACACACAAGCACACAGAACAATTGGATTATTCATAACTGTTCTGTGTAGAAAACAGTGACAAAAGTGGAGAGCAATGGTGTTGTCTGGTTCAGGTCTTGCTCTCTCTAACGAAGTTTGAGATGAACTCTGGTCGGGCATCTTCTTTCACAGGCAGATCATGGTGCATGTTTTTCAGCACTGCTCTGTGTGCAACCAGGTGCAGAATGCGTATTGTATAGCCAGGAAATTCTTGTATAGGAGCACGAAGAGCTTGTGGGTGGGAATCGTGGGATCTCTGTGACTATTTTTATTGTATTTCACTTTTATCTAATACTTACAGATCTTTCTGCTATGCTTATAGTGGTCTCTGCTCTTCCCTCTTCTATG